AAAATGGCTCATGATAGCACTATGGTTGGAGCAGACACTTAAACCAAAGATGGCTTTACCCATAATGCTCTGCGAGACAAAACAGCCCAAGGCTTGGTCATATTCCTTTCATTGAATAAAACTTCACTACATGATTAATTAGCTTCTACTCTCCATGTATGTTCCTAATCTTGAGCCGTTGTGTGTTTTTTTCCTTTTAATCCCTGACAATAATTACAAGGTAGCAAATCATAGGTATGTCTGCCTTGTAATATGAAAAGTTGGAAGTGTGGTTTTTAGTAAATGGCTGTAATAATTTGGGCACATTGCGTTACTCTGCCTGCAAACAAATTTGTGTGTAATGCATAACCAACAAATAAGGCAAGTTACCCATGAGAAGTATGAGAAGATGATTCCTAAATCAGCTGTGCCTAAAATCCCTCTGTATTTGCTTTTTGACCGTTTGTATTTCTCAAGGAGTGACTGAGGACACAGCTATACAATATGAACCATGTGTGTTGGTTTAACTGTCTTTTGCGTGGACAAATTTTGAGAACCTGTCACCTACAAAGGCAGTAACTGCTTAAAAACGAACGCTGAGTGGATTCCCTTGCAAAAACAAACATTTTTACTTAGTCTGTTAATAAAACAGAGTGTTATATTTTCAGATATTGCTGATTTCTGAATGGGGTTTAGAAATCATTCATTGCATCAAAATGAGACAGTAACGCAAACATTTCAGTAGATGTCAATAAGATGAAAGATTTGGGGAATCCCGGCCTATCAGGCCCCCACGTGGAAATGACTCATTTTATTTGCTCATCTTAGGTGGGAGCTGCAAATAAACAAGGAGGTCAAAGTGCAGCCCCAGCCATAATAGCATGTGTTTTGTTGTACCAGGGTGAGACCGGGAAGAAGGTGGAGCTCTGGGCTGAAAGAGAGTAACAAAGCTAGAAAAGTTATTCTCTTACGTTGTTGTCCTTGACGTGTAGCTACCTATTAGCTCTGGAAACCAAACTAGAGCAAAAGGAAGATGCTCTGCAGAGCCGACCTGTCTCTGCCCCCCACAGCTAGGGCACACCCTCCGACATCTTTATTTACCAGCCGATTTAGTGTCAGATTTCTAGTCTTTATAAAATAATAAGGTTGTAATAAGAGATTCACTTTCGAATGTTAATGATCAGACGTTATCGTTGAAGCTTAAATGTGTTGGCTTTGCTATTGAGGTTCCATCGAAGCATCTCTGGTGGCTTCTGGTTCAGCATTTTTACACAGATATTTTAGTGGATCACTGACGGCAAAGTACTTCACAGGGTTCTACTTCCATCGTCCTAATCAAACTGGGCAGCACTAATCCTTGAACACCATGCTAGGTGCTGCACTGGTGCTGATGTTAACACCTTCACCAATAATAGTGTTGCTCAGTGTTGAACCTGTGCCTAATGCGGCCTGTTTCCTTTTCTCCTTCTGTACCAAACTTACTCGACATATATTATAATTTAACATATCCTTATATATTCCCCTCTCAATTCCATGTTTATATACCCGTTTACATAATGTCATTAAACATAGTTGTAGATGCCTTTCTCCAGGGTAAACTACATTTAACTGATAAAGTAAATGATGGCAGTGTCTAAGGTATCCCCAGCCTTTGGTTCAATGCTCTCTGGGATAGGATGCAGGCAACCTTACAATGGAAAAGCGATTATAGAAGATGGATTGAATAAATTATGATATTAGCAAAAGATAAAAATGCAGACTTGTCTATAATTAGAACAATGCACATCTCTATTTGATCATTTTAAAATTTGAATAATTCCACCCCTTTTCATGTAATTAAATGAAAAAGAAAAAAAAAATATTACAATGTGAATGTTTCTGATGCTAAGACTGGCAGAACAGACTTGTGTTTTTACGTAGATTTATATTCATATTATTAGCGGCAGAATTAAAGATGGCGCTATAAAAACGTGGGTGGGATCTCACAATTTGGAGTTGAACTCCTCTTTACCTTATGTTGCTTTCTGCTCAAACTGACTGACCTGTTCATTCCCATAATGCACAGCAATGGCCATGCATTAAGAGCCCTAAGAAGAGTGGCTCTTCTGACATTTTTTTAACACACATTTGACATGGATCCCGTGTTCATTGGTGTCCCGTGGTAGGTGGAGCTGTACTACGTAAAGTCAACGCCGGCTATATCACTAGTAACCCCATTTACTGAACAATCAACATGGATGCAACTGGAGTATCTGAAAAGACAGTCTTTGGTGGCTGAATTCCATGTAAAACACAACCTGTCTGGTTTATGTTAAAAAAAAAAAAAACAGTGTTTCCTTGTGTATTTCCCCATTACATATTTTATTTGATGCTGTTGGCCAGAGTAAACTGAATGTAAGTATAATATTAACCATTGTTTACTAAACAAGAATTCAGATTTGCGCATTTTCAAGTGATGCTTTCTAGTATACACGCGTTGGCCCGATGCGTTCTAGTATACACACGTCCTCGCACATGTCACATATGCAGCGCATGCACGATCTGACTTTTCTGCATTTTTTTTAAATGTCCATTGTCATTCTTAGCATGCCGTCCATCTTGGAACTCTTCTTTGTGTGGCCCGTATATTCAGCTTAAATGCCAGTAATACCTTGAGATTCTTTGTGATGAATGTTCCTTAAAAAACAGTGCATCTTAATTCCAGAAATGATTACACTTAAAACAGTGTGCGGTATGTTTAGCGGTGGTGTGCATTTGTGTGGGGCCCCGAGGTCTGCGGAGCCCGTCTTGGTCATATACAGTCACTACACTGGGGGGAAGGAGGCACTGAAGTATCTTTTTGAAATGGCCCCCAGAATCGACAAACCTGCTCATGGCTATGTTTAGATGTCTGGAGGACTCTTCCGTGCAGTAATGTGCATCTTTAAAAACCATATCATCGGACATTTTACTGGCTAAATACCTTGATACAATAACAATGCCTCTTGGGACTTGAACCAAAAACCATCAGGTTACAGGTCCTTACTCAGAATGCTACTAGTATAACTGGAGTGATCATATCCATACGTTTTTATGTTAGCTACCCTATGAGCATGCCCAGAGAATTCCCTTGGTTGAACTAGATTATTAGATTATTATCTTAAATACACAAATTTCAACTGCTGATTTGAGTTGTCTGTGCTCACTCCAGGAAACTCGGTCTCTAAAAAGTGCCAGCGACCACATTTGGGTCTGTAGGAAAATAAGGTGTGGTTGCATTTGGCATTAACCTGCTAGTTGGCCAAACCACAATCACTACATTTTGAAAAATGTACTTGGCCTGGATATTAGATGTGTCTAGATATAAAATTACTATACCAATGAGCTCTGGTAGACTCAGTGGTACTGATCTCAGGTTCGTACATCATTAATGAATCGTGATGCATCTATCTGAAATAGTTACTATATTTACTATGTCTGTTAATTCTGCTATCCTTTGTGAACTACTGAAGGAACTACTGAAGGAACAAGTAATGAATAACAAGTAAAATACTGATCTCATGTTTGTTCATCATTAATGAACAATGATGCATCTTTTATCTCAAGTAGCTATTATATTTATTCATGATTTGTACTTCAGTAGTAAATGAGTAGGGCAATGCAGTGGTGCAGTGCTCAGCACTGTTACCTCACACCTCTGGGATCTGGGTTTGAGTCTCTGCCATATGTGTGGAGTTCGCATCTTCTCCCTGTGTTGTTGTGTGGTTTTCTCCAGGTACTGTGGTTTCCCACCACAGTCCAGAAACATGTTGAGGTTAATTGGAGTTACCAAATTGCCCATATGTGATATGTGTGAATGGCGTGTAAATGAGCCTTGTGATGGGTTGGTGCCCCATTGTGGGTTGTTCCCTCCCTTGTGCCTGTAGCTTCTGGGAAAGGCTCTGGTGACCCTGAATAGGATAAATGCTTACAGATGATGGATGGATGGATGGATAGTAAATGAGTACTTATGCCCAATCAAGTAAAGTGTTACTTACTTAATATAAATGAGAGTGAGAAGTATAGAAATTCACTGACATTTGACACATCAAATATGAATTGGCCAAATCTCAATGAACCTCAATGATGTTGCTCTTAGTATGGGAATGTGTGTGTTGTTGTGCCCTTATTGTTGATAAAACTGTGTGTTCTGTGACTGCTTTGCATCCTATTTAAGTCTGGAGATTATTGCATGTTTCCTGAGAGTTTCTGGATCATCCTGACCCTAACAGTATAAGTGTTTATTGAAAAGAATGGGCTTTTCTACAGTAGTCTGTTGCTTTGTTCATACTTTTATTTGGTTGTTTTTGTTTGTTTCGTCATACTTTCTCCACCCTGCCCAATTAAACCAAAGATCCTTTCTGGTAATTGTTATTTTCACCCTAGTTAAACAAAAGTAAAATGCTAAACAGGAGCATATTAACCCCACGAGCCCCCCTCCGAACCCCAGACATCAATGTAATTTTCCAAAACCTCCAGCTGAAGGACTTGCACCACGTTGTCGTCATGTTGCACTGCAGGTCATGGACAATGGAAAGAATGGACAGAAGGATAGATGGGCTTTTAACCCATGTATACAAGTGCGTGTTTGATTTTATTTTTTTATTGTCCCTACCTACCAAAATGGTGTTTTAAATTGCAGTCTGTTATAAGGCTGTAATGGGTTTTTAATCTGAAATACATCGGCTTTACAACTCAGAATAATCACCCGCTTGGGTTCCTTGAAAACCATATGAATAACGTCAAGAAAGATTATTTAAATCATTATATTACGTCCTACTCATTGAAAACGTGCTTCGGTCTGCTCCAACCATAGTACTATCATCCAATTAAGTATTTGGAAACATAGCGTTACGCTATTTTTCTACTTATAATAAAAGCCTTTGGACATTTTAAAATACCAAATAATGTTATATGTTTATTTTTAAAAATGTAGGTAGGATTTGCGCTATTTGAGGCCCGTGTATATTCTTCTTGCTTTGAAGAGGGCGCCTTTTCTCTGCAGAATTGCAACTTGCTGACGTCCCGGGTAATCATGTGATTAGAAGCAGCTCGTTCCCAGGGTTCAATGAGAGCCTTTTGCCCCACCCCATCTCTTCAGCGCTATCTATCTCAATGTACAATTCCCAGAGAAAGGGGGCAAAAGCCTAATAATACCCCGAATAAACCGATTTTTCGGCGTCTTTTCGGGAGCGGGCACGGCCTGTTGATGAAGAGATCGCTGTCATAGGGGTGGGGGGGATCGCTTCTGGCGAGCTATGGCTTCTTCATGTATGTATGTGCACATGTATATCGCCACCCGATTTCAGAAGGAATTCAAAGCTTAAGGACTGACATACGGCTATACCTGCGAAGAGCCCTGAAATACGGAAGGATTTCCAGCAAATTCGATCAAATCGGACGAGCCGAATAAAACCGAAAAGGAGCGGAAAGGGGGATCGGTGACCGCTGCCGGGGAAGCTTTCGGATGTGAGGAGAAATACAAAACTGCAGCCACAGAAAAAAAAAGACCGAGAAGGGCCTTTTTTGGATTCGGGCAAACCCAGCAAGCAAGAACCGTCGCAAAAAGGGGGAGGAAAAAATAAATTTCTGGGCAAAAAAACTGAATTTGAAAGACACTGTGGGATCAACTGGATCTATTCGTGGATTTTAAAAGGTTCTTACCAAACGTGAGCCAGGCAAAAATGATCCACATTCCGTCATTTTAGTGGGAATATTTATTTTTTATTTTTTTCAAGGCTCTCTCTGCTGTTCGTGCCTCTGTCTCCGAGTGCTGGTAGACAGATTGGAAAGAAAGAAAAGCAAAAAAAATAACGTCCTTCGTTTTCGGACCTCTTGAATTTTTTATATTCCCCTTTCTTACACTTACATTTCAGGAAATTCTTGTTTCGTGCAGGATAAGTAGATGGATTCGCCGCAGGAAATTTGCTAAATCGGTTGTGTCGGGATATCTGTTCACCGGGAAAAGGCGTCGCGAGTGTCCCGGTATTACTGCCGTTTGTCATTTCGCGGAGAAGCCGAGGATGCCGGCGGCACATTTAATGCCTTTAAATGCATAAAATGTGTGCCGTGTGATTTAAAAAAAAAAAAGCAAAAAAAATAAGAGTAATTAACCGTGCAGGAGGGCGGCCCGGCTTGTCGTCATCGGCACTGCCACCCTTTCCCCACAGACTGATACATTTTAGGCAATTTCACGCAGTTAACAGTAATTACGTTACCAAAACGGCATCGTTCGCAGAGTCCGCTGGCTTAACTTGGCGAAAGGCGATATAAATGTCACAAATCTTTGGCGGGGCGTTAAATTGGTGGGCCAGCCTAGGGATTTAGGAATAGTTTAATTTTTATTTTATCAGCCCCCTCCTCCTTCCCCCCATCCCACCCCACACCTCTCCCTCCCATCCACCCCCCCGTCTCCCTTCCTTCTCCTCCTCCTCCTCCCCCCCGAACCCGGTACCGGGGTTTTATTTTATTTTTTTTTGGGAAGATGGGTTGTTTGGGCAACGGTAAGACCGAGGACCAGCGAAACGAGGAGAAGGCGCAGAGGGAGGCCAACAAAAAGATAGAGAAACAGCTGCAGAAGGACAAGCAGATATACCGGGCCACACACCGGCTGCTCCTGCTCGGTAGGTGTCGGCCGCGGGAGACACGGCCCTTCGGACATCACATGCATGCTGTATTTTTCTGTCATATTAATGCATTCAGTCGTGCCCGTTTGCTGGGCTGCTGCACGCCTGCTATATAGGAACGGATGTGGAGCGATCGCTCATGTTGTGCAGGCCGTGAAAAGGGGTGCCATCCGCTTACAGAGGGTATCTGCCCTTAATGTCACTTTTATTGAGAATATAGTACATCCTTTAACGGGGTAACGCTAACCAGATTTTCTGGATTATGTGATCCAGTAAGGCCAGGCTGCGTAGATTTGTTGTGCTGTGATGTTTACTAAACCATCTGATTGGTTTTATGTGTGTTTTTTTTTTTATTAATGTGATGTTCTTAGGTCTTGTTTACGATTGGTTTTGTCGCATTTTTTTTATACCGTAGACCCGCTTCATAAAGGCGGATAGTTTAATAAGCACCGGGTGAAAATGGCTCGACGTGTTCGCCTTTAAGTGTTTTGAAGACTTATTTCCGTGTACGAGGAAGTGGTGGGTCGCCGTAGGGAAAAACGCACAGGCACCGCGATCTCTGCATTTTACAGACGCCATCGTGCTGTTTTTATGCACCTTTACAGCTCGACAGGCTCATGCGATTCGTGTTTTACACAATTCCATTCTTATTAATGTATTAGAGGTACGCGGAGTCAGTTGCTGGGCGGTTATTTTAATGTAGTTTTGTGTATTTCCCGAACTAGTTCTGTAGTACAAATGACAAAACACCTTTTAACGGGACCCGAAAGGTATAGGTCACTCCTGTTCAGATTTCAGAAAGCGTCCGGAAGAACAGGGTCTGTGTATGTATATGTGTGTATGCATGCATGTGTCTGTGTGTGTGTGTATATATATTTATTTTATTTTATTTTTTGGTGTGCTGTGCCAGGTTGGTCAGTATGAGGAGCATAATTTTAAAAGTTTTTGACTGACAAACTACAAGTAAAGGCAGTAGAACACGAAACACTGATGTGTTACATTGTGAAGTACAGAGCCGGGTTGTGGGCATGGAGGAATATTGCATTAGTTAAATCAAGTGAACGTTTTCAATGTGGGAAAACATTTTACCTTAGATTATCGTTGACGTGAACTTGAAAGGGTGTGTGTGTGTGTGTGTGTGTATACACATACATACATACATACATACATACATACATACATGTGCACACACAACATAAACTGCTGACAGAGGTGGTTCCTGTATGTATTTATGTGCATATTTAGCTTATTTTCTGAAGGTTTACTTACACACAGTGCTGTGGACCGATTGGGTTTCTGCTGTTGCCTTGCCTGAAAGCTACCCTAGCATGCCCAGCCGTGTGCTCGTAAGGGCCTGGCGCTTCCTGGGGCAGGAAAACGTCTTTGGTATAAGAGCAGGGCCTCTGTGACACAGGCACGCATGACTGGTCATGTGGAGAAATAAAGAAAACGAGTGTGTGTGCGTTTGTGTGTGGAGGCATCTCTTCTTCATCAGAAGGGAATTCACAGGAAAACACACAAGACACAAACTGGACATTGTGCAAAAACCTTTCCATTTGGAAGCTACTCATTGCTTTAAATATTTCATTTTTGGTTCCCGTTAAGTGTGTTTCTGCAGAGAACATTGCAGGCTAGTATCACATGATATTCAACACCATTGCAAACTACGGCATTTGAAAAAGTTCTTGCTTTTATGCAGAGGGGTGAAAAAGCCGAAATGCTGTTCTCAAAGTCTAAATTGTTAATTTAGTGCTCTTGTCACACATTTTGGTCTCTGCAAAGCCAGGCCGGGTGCCGGTGATTAATTAAATGTGCTGGAGGCTCCTTTTGCCATTGCTGTGAAATCGGGTAACAGTTGGAGGCCTTCTGCTGAAGTGCCAGGCTGCCCTGCCATTGCACGTCTTTTGTGAAATTAACCTCAACGCAGTTTGGAGGGCTGTAGGACTCATGTAGCACATTGTTAAGCTACACAAGGGCCACGTCAGGCCTCTATTGGATGTTTTTGTTTTTTTTTTTTTTTTTTTTTTTTTTTTTTTTTTTTTTGTTGTTTAGTATGTTTCTCTCAACCCAAATGTGAGCTTTTCTCATCGCCTTTGGGTTGAGTGGAAGAACAGTCCATTCTCAGGGGAAGGATCACCCCCCCCCAATCAGTGAATTGTTTATTCCTAATTGGATTCTTTTTATGCTGACAGATGAGGTTAATTGTCTGTTTTGGGATATTAATTTGGCAAAATCTGAGCTGTGAGTACGTTGTATGTCTAGTGCCGCCAAGGCGGGATGTAACTGTCCTTTTGGATGTCATCTTGTATTTATGTTAGAATTAATATGTAATTCTTTAATAACCAGCTTTATAGTACCTTTTTTTTAATCTGTAGAGTTAGTAAAGCGTTCTCTCCATTTGTGTCCTGTTCTATATTTACATGGAGGGAAACTAGGGAAGTTTTTATGAGATTTACCTAAAAGCTAACACTTCATATTTGGAAGTTTTGAGTGTTTATAATGTCTGGTTTTGTGATGTATGAAATGTAGCTGCTAGTTTCCTATAAGTGTGTTGGGTGGAATTGCGCATGATTCAGGTGGCCATTTGCCCTGTCACCTTCACTGCTTTCTACCTGTTCATAGCACCAGGGATTTGTGGATGACCAAGGATTGTAGGCCAGAATTAGTTGATTCCCAACTTATAATAGAAGTGTTACCACTGTATTGGAATTTTCCTTTGAAAATGGGGATAAGGAATAGATGCTGTGAGTGAATTTAGAAGAATTTTGTTGATTTTTTTTTTTTCTCTCCCAGAGTGTTTGTATCTTTACACAATTTTGAAGCACAATTCGGAACAGAAATGCCTCTTGTTGATGTCAGAGAATGAAATGTTTTTGTTAAACATCCAGTTCTCTGTACAAGGTGCGTGCGCAATACAATACAGGATATTATCTGGTTGTGAACAATAGGAACTTAATATCGCTTTTTTTGGGTGGAATTTCCCTTTAAGTGTCTTTTGCACCAAGGCTGCACTTGCTGTAGTGCTGCCGCAGTAACTGTAATGTCCCGATTTCTTTATTACATGCCACATCATAACAGGTGTCACTTTGCAAGCTAATCTCACAGACATACATTTTGGGTGGCTTGTGGTTAATCCTGATAGGCAGTTTGTAATATTCACGTGTTTATAGCAGGTGGCGAGAGGACTAAAATCTGCATGTACCTTGCATTGTAGGTCTGTGTGTTTTTTCAGCCAGGGCAGTGTACATTATGGGATGGCATGAAGCCAGCAAGGACCTGGAAGTCTATATAGGGAAGGCTTCCAGTTTCCATCAGCTGAAGAGATGGAAGCCTTCTTTCGACAGCTACTTTTCCGGAGAGCCCTATGGTTGTTCAGATTAAATTTGGATTATTTGGAAGGGAGTCTCTGGTTTTTAAATCCCCTTTTAGCAACTTGAGCTCTGGTGATTGGGCTGGTGTCCTTCTGGAACACACCCCACCCATATTGGGATATCTAGCCTTTGTCTGTGGAGTTCTTGAAGTGTCGAACCTCTGCATGAGGATTTTGGAGTGACCCGTGTGTCCTGTTTGCAGTATCCGACCCTGTGGGGCTCCACTGTTTGCTTCTGTTGATAAAGATGCGTACAGCTCCCACCATAATCTATACATGCTCCCATTTCAGAACGTGTCCTCCGTCCTGTATACTTTCTGATGATGCCTTCAAGACCTTTTTAAGTAGGGCTTTTTTGGGGACGCTGTTTCCCGTTCTGTTGAGTCACAAGGTCTTGGTTTTCCAGCCAAGCCGGCTCTTAATAAATTACATGATGGCTCAGCCAGTGCTTGTATGCCGGGTAGCCTGACCTCGTGTGCTGTTTGTGCATCTTAGCAGGTGTCCGTATATAAGTCTAAGCCCCTAATACTGTCTGTTCTGCCATGTCACCCATTCGGTGAAGCTTAGATTTAGTACAAGTGTGTTCACTCACTCACAAGGAACCCAGGAGAGATCTTGGTCTTTTGGTAAACCTGTAAAGTGCCTTTCTCATGCCATAGAAATACATTTGTTCCAGACTTGTACGCATCTACTATCCCAAAGCCCGATGGATTATCGGTTCCATGGGTATTAATAAAAAAAACAAAACAAAACGGCATATATGTCTTGGAAAATTTTCGTGTTGGTTGGTTGCAGGTTCATAAGGTAATAGAATAAAGTAAAATAGGAATAGTTGTGTGAACATAATTAATGAATCCAGCTAACTTCTGTGATAGTTTGTCCAGTCTTGATTATGGTGGTCCATAGTTGATAACAGACCAGGTACACGCACCAGACTGGACATCAGAGTGAGCAACACTGTACTGATGTAAACTTCCATACTTGCATATGTGAGTTACCTGCCAAGTGCCGTTTTAATCATCATGTTTATCTTTGGTCTGCAGTTTCAGAAGCAGATTCTATGCCAGCCTTATGGAGATGTTTGGCAGTAATGCTAAATGCAATGCCACCACGCTACAGTCACGTGCCTAATAACTTGGAGAGCTTTAAAAAACCTTATTACAGCAGCAGTGGTGGGGTGCATCACCACAAAGTCAAATGGTGAAGACGTTGTTATCTTTTATCATTATAGACCAGTGTATAATTTATCCAGTTGCCCCTGTTACCTTTTAAAACTGTTTAGTCTAGGATAGAATTACTCTCAAAATATAATTCCCATGTGTACAAGACATCTGCAGCGAATCAGCCAGAGTTATCAACTCTGGATTTTTATCACCTCGAATCCCACGATTTATGCAAGCCCTACATATTAATTTCTTTGTTTCTCGTTTGTTTCACGTGGTTCTTCAGGTCCATAATTTGCCATCCTGACAGACGGCCGTCTTCTTCCCTGTGGTTTTCCCCTCAGCCTCTGAGCTTTAAACATGTTCTTATCTCTAGCCTATCGGTTTGTTCAGTGCAGCTCAGAGTATCACGGAAAACATGACCGTAGAATATTGACGCAGAATGCGTGGATCAGAGCCTTTAACTCCGATGTATCATACCCACCAGTGAACGCGGCCAGAATTAACTAGCATTTCTAACTAGTGTTTCTCATACTTAGAACCTCATCAATTCTTTAAAAAAAAAAAAAAAAAAAAAAAAAAACTTAGGGGCATAATGGTGGCAGGTTTGAAAGTCTAAATGTTTGGTATCGATGCTCCATTAAGTACAATTAGACCTTCTTATGTTTGCTTGAAATTTTGATTCCCATCGTTCTAAGCATGCACTCCCACAAACCTATATCTTTTTTATTGTAGAACTTCAAAATTTCAGTTGCCCCCCCCGTCTTCACCTCCTTTTATATTTGGGGTGTCTATCATACTTCTAACGTTTAGCTTATTAGCTAGCAGCTAATTTTATATTTGAGAGAGAACCACTTTGTGTGTCTTCACTCTAGTATTTTACATGAATGGCTTTAGTTTTTTTTTTCTCCTTGGGAGGGATCATTAGAGACTTGAAAATACCTATTTTGATTACATTAGACACCCCTCGTTAGATCTAGCAGTGTGTGGCTTCTTGCATGACACACCAGTCCAAAGCTCTGGTTTTACATGCATAGCTGTGCTAACAAGCCAGCAACACCTAACCACGCCTCTGTATTTCACAGCCTGGTAAAACCACTGGTTGTATGGTTATAGGTTACTTATAACCAAATTCCTGCCTGCTGCCAGAATCACATGCATACTGATGCCATTCTATGTTTGCAGGAAAGCGTTGGGGCTGTAGGATGGATGTTTGTAGTCTCCATCAGGTGTTGTGAAAAAATGAGACAAAACATGTGTTTTTTTTTAAATATTTGTCTCCATGACAAGCTGTCAGATGATTGCCTTTTTGTTTTACTAAATTTTGGTTCTGCATTAATGTTAATTAAGGCCCGTGAATGCGTGTTGTTTCTTTGGTTTATGAAAGACATGGGATGAATCTTTCCAGACATTAAGAACTGTCCTTCCTGTGATCACACCAGTAACCTCCACCCCGGTTTTGTTCACAGGGGCTGGAGAGTCGGGAAAGAGCACTATAGTGAAGCAGATGCGGATCCTGCATGTCAACGGCTTCAACCCAGAGTAAGTGCCCCCCTCCTCTCTACAACTCCTGCCGTCATGTGATTTGTCCAGTATTTTCTATCTTCCTACTTCCACATCAGTGCTGCAATCAGAGTATCCATCAAACTTGTTCCCCCTTGCGATTATTCTTGCAGGCTTTCTGTGCCTTATTTTTTTTTCCTTTCTTTTGTCTTTCATTCGATTATCTCCTTTTTCCCTCCATCTGATTCATACTAGAAGCGTCATGTCATGCCAATACATGTTTATTCATGTTACCGTGGTTTTATTTAGCCATAGAAATTAGAGACTGGGACCTTTTTAGACTTGAACCTAAACTTAGTTTAGCTGGTGACTTGTACTATAAAGGTCCTGGATGTGTTTTTTTTATTATTTATTTTTGACCTAGTAACAAATCGGAGATGACTCTGAAAATGGAGACCATGGTTTTCAAGTGTGTCCAATTTCAGAGGCTCGTATCCTGACCCTCTGTGACTCCTATGAGAGCGGCGCCGTGTGTACATGCTCATTCAGAAAGTTGCCTGCCACAGGATGTACCGACACAGATCACCTGCTCGCTGTCATTGGCTGAAAAGTTGGGGCTGAAAAGATGAGGCTGAAAGCAAGTGCTGACAAGCTGTGCTGACCAACCAATCCATTGAGTCATAGGGAATTATGGGCAGTGCCCAGCGCTCATGAATGGCCAATAAAAATGTCACAAAATGTTGCTGGCTTTCCTGCTAGCTGTGTGGCTGCTGCAATGTGTGTGACTTTTTTTTAGCATCTCTGAGAGGGAATTGAAGGCACTAAGAAAAGGGCTGCAGCAAGTAAAGGTAGAAATAGCCACTATGGCTGCAGACAGTCCACTATAAGCCGGGGAAGGTGATTGGCCGCTCTTTCCATACAGTCACGTCAGGTTAATTGGTTTCACGTGTTTTTTTTAATTTTTTTATTCTGTCTTGCAGCAGTAGACTCTCCATAAATAGTATTTGGATTTTTAGTAGATAACCCTTCTTCGATTTGGTTCCATGTCCATTTTGGCATTTTATGACTTATGAAAACTTGCTATTCCGAGATTCTTTAGTTTGAATGTAAGCCTGGCCTTGTGAAGTAGCTGTAGAAGGAAGACCATAATATTTAATTGGGCATAGCTGAGCTGCATTTGCCCATTTTGCTAACACCATTCATGTTAAGCAAAATTTAATTTGGAGCGTGTTTGGGGTACCCTGCAGGTGTGACTGCCATTTGAAGTGAGAGGCGATCTGTAGTGTTATACATCTGTAGTGTTATAGATCTGTAGTGGCAGGGGAGGGAGTTGACTGGCAACCTCCCCTTGTCTCCATGGTAGGACAGAAAGGAAGAGCAGAGTCTCTTGCATCGTCAGTGGTGGTGTCGTTATTGTCTCTTCTGTCGTTCTCTGTTTTCTTCCCACAATGGTGTGTTTGGTCTCTCTCCCTGTTGGCAGATGGGTTGGATTTTTTTGATGTCTTCTGATTAAATAAATGGGAACAGGAAAGCACACCTCTCTTTGTGCCGTGTGGGTTTTTTCATAGTTTTTCTGCAATTAAGTAGCTCTGTGATGAGAGGATGCGGATAAGGTGCCAACAGAACTTTGTGGCAGTCCACATGAGGACCTATGGTTATGCTGGTGTTAAAAAAAAAAAATTATTGAACCCATTTTTTAAAATGTTAAACATATGCAATCTACTGTTTTTGTACTCGTTTTATTTTAATCTTTGGGACGGTTGTCAAGGACTCAAAAGTAAGTCGGGGCGAATACATGTTTAATGTAAAGGATATGTGTGTGTGTGTGTGTGTGTGTGTGTGTGTGTGTGTGTGTGTTTTATTCCCCTGCAGTTGCATCTAAGCTTTCCCCCTTTCTCCCGTGTGTAGCAGAGGTTGAGTGAAATGCAGTTGGACTAGTTTGCGGCTTATGACACAATTTGAATCACCAGCATCTATAGTGATCTAAAGCCATATATATATACACACATAAGAACATAAGAACATGGTTTTAATATGTTTTTAATATATAACAAATATAAATTGTGGAAAGGTTTTATCTCCAAAGAAGGTCGTACATTCCAGTTTGTTCCTGGGCTTGTTGTTCTCATAACCCAAGGGCGAAGAACGCCAGTGTCTTACATGTTAGATGCATTCTTACCATGGCACTTTTGTTTTTTATTTATGTGTGGAAAATATGCAAGACTATCAATGAACAGGATGTTCATGAGTAGAGATTTGCGCTCCCTTTGTCAGTTTCTTCTGGCGTGGTTGGTCTTTCTCCTCATTTGTTCTGTCCCAAAATGTTGTTTTTTCTTGATGTTACCCTTCAAGGCTCATCACATTAGAAGATTGAGCCCCACCTCCTCTTCAGGTTAATTCTTTTCCTCTCTGTGATTGTTTGGTGTAGAAACAAGATTTATGGCTTGTTGGAAAGTTAACAAGCAAATAATCCAGTGTTTAAATAATGTAAATTGCAATGGGTTTATGAGGTTATTAGACACCATTGGTCAAGAAACACAGTTTTATAGAGGAATATATAGATTAATTTAATAATAGTTTGCTTTATGAAAATTAAGTCCCATTTGAAGCTACATAATTTTATTAAATAGATTGGCTGATTTTAAACTGCCCAAATCAGAATATAAATATGAAGCCTACATTCCTCTGTTGTAATGAATGGGGTACCTCAGGGTTGCGTATTGGGGCTGCTTTTCTTTGTGTCATCAGTAAACTAGTGATTTTACAGGTAGTGGAGCAAAATATTTTGCATGTAACATGTTTTCTTGGACTTGTGAATGACAACCATCACTTCTGCTCTGAACAAAAAAGGGAAGGTTAGAATAGTGCCATCACTGTGTGTTTGACTTTTCTCGCCCATGCATCTTCCATTTATGTGCCGTTTCATCCATTTTGCATGCGTTTTTGAAATCCAGGAATTTACTTTCATTTCATGAAAATGATTCTATTAATACATATATTTGGATTGCTATTCCAGCTGTCCTAATTTAACAGCAGATTACCGAATTAGTCTCAACTGTTAGCTGTGAAGATACTGGCCTTTTGCAATCATGGTCACTCTGAACAGGCCTTTGGCTTGAGTGTCCTGTTAATCAGTCAAATGATTTTTAAGCAATGTAGGTTTTGTTTTAGACTGTAAAAATGCACAATATTGGCTGCACACTTAAGTGCACACTTTAGTCCAAAACAATTGAGGCACAAGAATACTATAGTCACGCTGCTGTTTTCCTGAAAGTGCTTTTTTTCTCTCATCTGTGACAGAGGAAGAATTAAGTGTTGGCTTTAAACATGTCTAAATGTCATTCTGGCTATGAATGGTGACATTACAATGTTGTGCTTGTCTAGGTAGATGTTTCCTTTGAAGGTGAAGTTTATGCCACAAATCCTCCCCCAAGCAGGGTGAGAGTTTCCTGAATCTCCTGGGCAAATGTCCTGGGTCAGTTTGCATACAAGTATATTTTAAGGAGCATAACATTAGCATATGGTGTGCCTTCACGCTCAAAGGAAGAGGTCAATGAAAGATAAGGATCTTCATGCCCGTTTGCAGAAGCGGAGGACGGATCTAACTGCAGGTGTTGCAAAGGGAAGTCTTCTGCCCCCAGTGCATTTTGTGGTTATCCCTCCCGTGGTCCTAATTCTCTGTGTGCCCTTTTGTGACATTTATAGGAACAAAAAAATGCTCTCCACAAATCTGCTGCTGAATTTTCTCTGAGTTATGGCTGAAGCAGAGATTCTAGGTTGTGTTCCCAGTTTTATGAAATATTTTTCTGGGCAAATAAGCTGTATTTTGTAGTGTCTAATTTAATAATTCATCATTTGTTTCTTTGTTTTAAAACCCAGGCATATGGCATAGTGTCACCGTTCTAACATCCCCAGTGATGAGTGTGTGAAACACCCCCTGAAACATAAAAATTGTCATTTATAGAATCAATACGAAATGCGCCATTTGGTCAATGTGCGAGTTCTGGGTTTTGGGCCTAAAAACTTACCAAAGAAGGTCATCCTCAAAATTGCCAAAAAAAAGAAGACCTTGATTTTTTTATAGCTTTTCAATAAACTTCCACCTTAAAACAGCACCTGTTTGAGGGTGCATGAGATCCATATGTGTCTAGACGAGACTGCAGGTTCTTGAGATGGTTGAAATGCTATCTGCTAGCAGCACTGAGACTCCTTTCAGACTGTGCATAAATATTAGTGTAGTGGAAGCATTAACAAAGTGTGGCACTAATGAGGGAGCTGTGTTGACGTTCTGTTGTTTAGTTGATGTTGGTATCCAACACGACTTGGACACTAGGCCAGTTAAGTACCGTCTGCAAGGGCCATTCCTGGGATGCAGAACAGTAAAATTTGCATCAGTGTTCTCAACCATGATAGTATGTGCTGCCCAAACTACTACTAAGGAAGTATACGATATGATCCCATCTAGCTGCCTTTGTTTGGGTCAAGCTTAATGCAATATTTTATATCAGAAGTTTGTCTGTACTGTCTTGTTAGGGCTCTTTGAATTGTGGTGTCTCACATAAAAGGATTTCTTATGTTGTGTATCTAGGCCACCATAAATGTGAAAAATCTTGTTTCTTGCAGAGTTGCCCCCTGTCTTCCAGGGGTTTGGCTCTTCTGTCTGCAGATCTGCTGTGGAAACGGCAGAAGTAGGAAGGTACAGAGAGAACTGGGCAATTAAATATATGAGAACATATGAGAAGATACGAGTTTGGCTTTTTGTTGAATTTTGCAGTTTGCTGGAGCTTGATTTTTTTCAGCATTTGAGGTCTTCCAATTAAATGAATTTCCAAGTTTTATAATGGTACTTTTTTCCCCCTCATGGATATTATGATCCAGGGAAACTTTGTGTGCAGTTTTATTTTGATGTTCTGGTTTGCCTTTTTAACGTGGTCTTCGGTTTATTTTAGATCATTAAGATGTGGGGTGATGGAAGAGTGATGTGAGGAGAGGCAGGGAATGTATGGAGGGGAGTGATTTTTGTATCCATTCCAACGTGCTATTTTGGGGGGTGTGGCTTTCTGGAAAATATGTTAATCAGTTAAGGTGGCGTGTGCATCAAGCCGGCGCCTCTGAGGCTGGGCTGCATGTCTGCCCCATTTGATCCTGTTCCAGATACCATGTGCCTGCCAGTTTCGTCCTGCATGTCCACGGACCAGCCTTTGTCTGCTGGTGAATAGCATTCACATTCATGAGTAATACAAAAGCTTACTTTAAACGTTCAATGTTCCTTTTTATCACTCTTGTACCTTGTGAGATCCAGGGCCTAAGGGGGCCATGAAATCCTGCAAAAAAATAAAGTGATTTTCTAATCTCCCACAGTTAATAGATTTTGGCACGATTAGTGACCTTTTATGGTTGGTGTGTTGTTTGGTGTCAGGCACGTAACAGCCCAGTTATAAACTGGGAACTGAGTGTGATGTGAGTTACAGCATCCAGCAAACCTAAAATGTATATGAGCGGTAGGACCTGCTAGTTTTTATGTCTTATTCAGGCGAGGTTTTTAGGGAAGCGTGTTCCCTGTGTCACGACAGGGGCGCCGTTGCCAAGCAGACCTTTTCGCTGGATATCCGACGGTCATGTGACATGCTGGGGGTCAGAAGCAGGCTGGGAAGGATGTCTTGCAGCTTTGTGGCCTGTCTGATGTAGCCAGGGGTGGATGCGCCAGCGACTGTTCATTGGCTCCCTGTTTCTCTGGCTGAAAGCCCTCCTCATCTTCAGGCTCTGATTGGAGCAATGAGCCAAATGACCAGTAAAAAAAAAAAAATCCCCTACATTAATAAAGATGCTTTAATTATCTCCTGTTTTACCTGTTATTTGGTTTATACTGTTTTTGAGTTCAATTTTTTTCTTTTTGCCTTACAGAGAGAAAAAACAGAAAATTCAGGATATTAAAAATAACATTAAAGAAGCTATAGAGGTAAGTTTGTGCTTTTACAATTTCTCCGGTTAGATCTACTGAAATAAGACTGCTTCATAACTGTTCATGGGGCCTGTGAGGAACTTAAACTAGCCGGTAATTTTATTCTCCGACTTCATCACAAGTTTGCGATTTTTACATCTGTGTAATGATAGTAATAGTAGTAATTAGTACTTTGGATCTAATTAGAGCTGGAAGTTTAACGAGAGTCTGTACTGGGGGAATGTAAATGAGGCCTTTTGTCAGCGTAATTTGCCTTTAAACGTGTTTAAGAACATGTTCTTGTACTCGAAGTGTTGCCTTGTTAATGTGTGCGTCTCACGTTTAAACCCGCGTTCCATGTCACCCTCCCAGACCATTGTGGCCGCCATGAACACTCTGGCGCCGCCAGTCCAGCTCGCCTGTCAGGAGAACCAGTTTCGGATCGAGTACATCCTCAACTTAGCGAATCAGAAGGACTTTGAGTTTCCCTCTGTGAGTGTGACTGCCATCACGCACCCATGCACCCATGCACCCATGCACCCATGCACCCATGCACACGCACACCAATGGGTTGAGGTGGAGCAGACGGCCGCAGCGTCTGGCTGAGACGCGAGCTCCACGTAGCCGCGGCCTGCCGCCTTCCAGCGGGATGTCCTTCCTGACACTGCCCCTGGTTTAGCTAGGAGGAGGCCCTCCTGTAAATAGGGTGAATGGAGGGTGAAAGGTTTGGGGGAGCAGGGGTGGGTCTCTTCCTGTTTTCGAGATTCATTTCCCTTCACACTGCTTCAGGGATGCATGTGGCACAGCCCCCCGCCCCCCGCCTCGGGTGCTATGGGCTCCTTGCACTAACGGGGCTCCAGTTAGCTGCAGAGCACTTTTCAGTTTATAAATCTGCCACCTTGTGAGAAATTTTAGGAAACTCACTGGGGCTGGAATCTGAACAAACCAATGCATGATTCTATTTTGAGTGTTTCGTAAAATAAACCCAGGTAAAGAGGTTGAATTCCCTAATACCCCCCCTCCCCCGATGAACTTTGTACTTTTCTGCAATCAAGACTGAAAAGCACCCCCTCTTCTTCCCAGTAAGACCATAGAAAGCAGGTGAAGATCTTTAGTGGCCTGGGCTCTGCTGCAGTAATTAGCAGGTACACCGCGCCTTCTGGGGGGTAATTGAATGGATGAGCGTCTCACCTGAGAGTCACACGCTTCTGCGCTGTGTGACTCATTAAGCCCAATTGTGTGCTAATGACCCTTAAACTGGCCCCTCTGAGGATGCTTTCACATGGTGCTGGGAATTGCAGCACTCTGGGGCCTGTGGGGCCTGTGCTCTGTCTCAGCATAGCTGTGGGGGGGTGGTGTAGAGGGGAGGGGGTGGGCCCTGAGCGCTAGTTAGTTTTTAAACTAGTTTTGACTTCCTAAGTAACTTCTCTGCAAAAGAAATTTATGGTTACTTTACCTGGTTGCTGATTAATTCCCAGTGACTACAGACACGCTTAACACTGTTCAGAGCCGTGGGTACATGGCTACCACGGAACTTTCCAGATCGGCGTTTGATTCGCAGTGGTGTTTGTGGCGAGGGTGTGGGCTGTGACAGCGGAAGCTGTGCCTGAATGAAGTGGATGCCCCCCCCCCCACTGGGAACCAGTTTGACTGGTCCACTGAGATGCCGGCGTGCGTGTGGGAGGGTGAGGACGTGTGGAGAGCTTCGCGGCTGGTGGGGGGAGTGTCACACAGGCTCGCATGGGGCCACACGCTACCTGCTACGGTTCCCTCGGCAGCAGCGGGTTGCTCCTCCAGCTCTGTTTGCGCTGCTCGAAACCCCGAGAATTCCCTGTCTGATCAGCACTGGCCGGGCCTGATTCTCCCGCCGTGGCTCTGAGCCCCATTGGAGCACTAGACCGACATCAAACAGACCCTCGACACAGTGAAATGGACAGCGGATGTTGATCAGCGCACAGATGAGTCGTTTTGGTTTCTGGGAAATTGAAGTGTATTCACCTCCAGGATTCTGCGGGCTGCACAATGCTGCCCGTCTCTCCGTTGAATGCCCACAGCAGCCTGTTCATGGTCCTTATCGTCTTGATTTCTTCTCTCTCGGCCCCCTCTAAATATATCCTTGTAGGAGAAGAGAGGCCTCTGTCAGCCCCCTGGTTCCGTGGGTTGTCCGGCCGCTGTCGGTTCCGCTTGGCCGCGCACATCAGGATTTCAGTGGGCCAGAACATTGCCAGAAATGTTTTGGGTGCTTATTTATTCTTTTTGTGAAAACAATCTTCTATTGTTCATTTGGCTTCATTTACTTGTGTTCTGAACTAACATGACAATTCTGTAAGTCTAGAAAGGGACTGGGGGCTCTGAGCGTTGGGGGCCTGCATCTAATTATTGCACAAATTCACCGAGCGATTTCTTAAGGTCCCTGCACCCTGCCTTGTATATCCAGGTTGTTGTGCATAGTCTCCCTACCCTCTACATCATCTCCTCTACATCATCTCCTCTACATCATCTCCCTACCCTCCCCATCTCCTCACATCTTCATTGTGTCCTGATGGTCACCCATGCTTATATGCAACTCTCACTTGAACATCCAGCCCCACAGACACGCACCCATCCATGACCTCTCAGGCACAGCCTTGACTCATATTGGTTTAGCAGATGGTGACTTACAGATATGCTCATCCTTAGTAGTTTTCCATTTTAATTAATGTTTTTGACCAAGATCTGACTGAGCTCTAGACCTGGATTTTTAAAGCCTCGGAGTCCAATGCGGAAAACATTAAACGGACCTTCGACACAGTGAAATGGACATCGGGTGTTGATCAGATCACAGATGAGTCGTTTTCCAGGTTTCTGGGAAATTTAAGTATCTTTTGGTTTTATACACCACACGCGCGCACACACACGCACACACAACTTGTAATTTTGGGTTTTTTCGGTTGATGCTTTGTTTTAAGCTAGCTTAGCTGTGTAGCATGTCCAGAGCTGCCTTTTCTGCTCTCAATCTGGTCATGTTCGGTTACAAAAGAGAGAAAGTAAGACATACTGCCATGCAGGAAGGCCTATGGACACGGAGAAACAATACAGCATTCAGCGGCCGCAAAGAGGACCGTAGGCGGGCCTAGTAATGTAATAAGGAGCCCCCCCCCACCCCTCTGCCGTGTGCATGTGACTGATTATAAAGAAACTCTCTGTTGATGTGACACTCGATGACTGCTCTCTTTGGGAGGGGTGAAGCTTTCTGGAGCAGAAGAGATGGGATGGAGGATTTAAGTTAGGATGCCATTCTTAATGCAGCTCGGTCTGCCGGCTGAGATGTTTATACGTTCAGATATATGGTGTCTGTAAGGCTGAGTGCACGGCGTGCAGAGTGGCTCTGCCGTGTGCCGTTTTTTTTTTTTTTTGGAAAATCCTGGAATCGTTGCTCCTCTGGCCCCAGAACGTCCTGTAACCTTCCATGCTGGGCTCCACTGAGGGACCCAGCGGATGACTCTGGTGATGTCGTGCTCTTTGGGTTGAGCAGGGTCTCCTGGGAGTACTGTGTGTTAGTTTGCATGCACGTAAGGAGTCGTGTAAGTCGCTATCAGTCTCACCTGTTAACCCTCCTCCCCCGCCCCCCCCCCCCCCCCCCCCTCTATTCCACAGGAGTTCTACGAGCATACGAAGTGCCTGTGGCAGGACGAGGGGGTGCGAGCCTGCTTCGAGAGGTCAAACGAGTACCAGCTGATAGACTGCGCACAGTAGTGAGTACCCATTCCGGGCCGTATAACCTCACGGGAACCCCGTTTTTGTTTAGCCTTTTGTGACGTTTGCCACCCTGGGCCATCATGAGATTCTGGAAAGCCTGTTGCATCCATGAGTAGGAACGTGGCTCAGTGAACCACGCCTCTGTGCCTGTGATCAGACCCCAACCTCAGCAGAGTAGTCACATGTCCGTAGGTTCTTGAGCAATGCCCTTAACCCCCAGCTCTAGGGGCACTGCACACTGGCTGACCCTGCACTGTGACCCCCCCCCC